AGTTCTACGCCAATCACTTCTGCAAGTGAAAGACTTAAGTTCCCACCCTTCTTCTGCCGAAGCAACAAATGAAAAGTGTGCGAGACCAGAAGGGTGTCCGTGGCAGCATTAAAAGGCGAACGGGAGGGAAGGGAGAGGGGCGAATTCCCCTTTTTTTTGGCCCTCCCTGGCCCCTCCCCTTTAACGCTTTCCTGCCTCGCAGGCTGTGAAAAAAGTCACGTTTTGAGTATCCATACCGGAAATCCTAAATGCCCTACCTTATTCCTAGGGGAATAAGCCTCAAACATCTAATATGTTCTTTACTTCTATCAGTCGATTTAGAACAGTTTTTTCATTTTGCAAAATGCACACTTGCGGTCGTTTTATTCCACCTGGTTTCCTGCCGTTTCATTTCATTTTATTTTTGCTCCACAAAGTTCGATTATTTGGGAAATTTGAATAGAGATCACGGAGGTGTGTCGCAAGACCTCACGCGAGCTGAGTGTTGCACATAGGCAACAGTACCCGGGAACACGTTCTTTTCCTTACAGGGATTGCGACTGGACAGAATGTGGTTTATTGGCCTTGCGTGCTTGTCCTAAGCCATTTTCTGCAAAGAAACATCAATTTAATTTGTCCATTTTCCTAAATAGAGTAATAAAAGGGTTGTTTTGCTCCAAACCCAGGCCTTCAGATTGTAGAACGTCTTAAACCCTTCTTCTATGTTTGCTCTCACGAAGACGGGATCAAGTCAAATTTTACTGGGATACGTCTCAGCGACCGCGTACTGCATGCACATGTTTCTTTTGTTTGTTTTGTGGGGGGGGAAAAAGATTAAGTGGCACTCGCACAGGCAAAAACTATGCCTTATGTCAAGTGTACGGTGACGATCATATGAAGCTAAATTAAATCATTTTAAAACATTAGAGTATGAAAACTTATCTCTTATCAAGTTATACCGTACTTTATCTAAATTGAAATTATACTTGAATAATCTGTACGATGACGAGCGATGTTGTTGTGAAGTGCCCGCAGGAAACCCAGGTGCTTGAATGCGAGGGATGCGTACTAAATTTAGGGTGCTAAAAACCCCTATTAACCTGCCATTACCCTGCGGGGTTGCATAACTTCCCGAATCACACAAGAAAGTTAGAATTTGTGCAAGAAATATAAATGGAATAAAAACAAAGTTAAGCTCCAGTCAGAAAGTTCTGCCTGCGTTCTTGATGTCAAAACCGATTTTAAAAAACCTTTCACCCGTGACGCATACTATTCTAACTAGTACTTTGAGTCTTTTATAGTATGCTTGCCCTAACTGCGCGCGAGTCATGACAAGCACTTTGGTCTGCTTTCCCAGGCAGGGAAAAATCTTACCCGTGATTTCCCTCGCTTTCTTCAAATCGCGCCGCTCCCTACAATCTAAACACCCCAAAACGGATATTTATTCGGAGATAACATGAACTTGATTTTAATACCTCCTAACGATATCCCTTGTTAATCATGCGTTAATCAAATTTCAGCCCTTACCAGTTAAAGCTTTGCTCCATCCATATTCCTTGACAAACACAATGTACAGTATTCCAAAACTGTTGTGAATACCCAGGACGACAAACTGCACCATTGCGGCTGCAAAACATATCATCCATCCCCGGCCACCGTCCTTCCAATTCTCGCAGTCGTAATCAACTTTCAGAACAATTTCATCGGTATTTCCTTTGTTCTTTTTATAGACGTTTGTCGACATTTTCTTGTTACGTTTCTTTTTTTTTTTCTCTTAAAACTTTCTCTCAACTTTGGGTGGACATTAACAAGTATTGAGCTTTGTCACATTCCTTGGCTCGATCTCAATGTTCTGATCGTCAGGGATATTGCGTTGTTGACTCTTATACGCGGATAGAGAGTTATGTCGAGCTGAGCAACATATGTGTATAAGTAACGTATAAACACTTGATTACCGTACTCAGATGTCAGATGCTGGATCCAGGAATCTTAGTAAATTCCCCAGGGGTTGGGGGGGAGTAGACTTGAAAATACGAAGACTTTAGCCCTTGAAAAGCTTGATGTACAGGCTAAGATGCTTTTCAAGCATAAAGAGAGACCTTGGGAAGTTCAAAGTCCAATGTAGTAGAGGGGTGGGATAGGTGGGGTAATTTGGAAGAAGGGGAGGGGTGGGGTAATTAGGGAAAGAGCAAATGGGGCTAAGAAGCAACGTTCGTTCAACACGCTTGTTCAAAGGGTATGACGACGAAAAAAAAAAGATAATGAATGCTTTTAACCAGACTGCTCCCGTAGGGTCCAATCTCTTCTGCTGCACATTCAATGCTATCTGTTCTTATAATCCAGTTATTTTTCATTAAACAACAATTCAGACTCTCGCCTCTCTGTAAGGTGCGAGCAGCGACACTACATTGGCTCTCTGGGTTCTCTTTTCCCGTTTAGCTGTGAATTATGAGAAACAAATTTTAAAATGTCTATTAATTTATCAGCTGTTGAGAATGTAAATGGATGGATATATGGGGATCCGGTGTTTACCACAGCAATTGATAACTTGTTCAAGCAAAAAAAAAAGAAAGAAAGAAATATAGTTGGCATTTTTTGTGGTAAACGTCATTTTATCATGAATCACAACACGAAAAAACTTACAATTTTTTTTTACTAGCTAGGCCCAGGTACTGAATCCTCATCAGATTCTCGATGCACTGCCGGCTTTGCCCGTTTTATCGTTACTGCCTTACCCGATGTCGTTATTGAGCGGGTACAGCTTTCGGATTGGTAGGTAAACCTTATTGATTGTGATTGTTATTTTTATTCTTGCATGGTCAAAGAGAAAATGTGCCTACCTCTACCGTAAAATTAGGGAGCTTAGCAACAACGACGGCAAAAATGAATTCTCGCTACCTCAAACTTTATCACGCTTATTCCATCTCGTTTAATTCGTCAAATGTTGGCATCATATTGTTTTGGAGTTGAATTCTAAAGGACTGCATCAAAGTTCAGGAGAAGAAAAGGAAAGTTGTTGTCTTGTGCTGATCCCGTCCTCGGCTAAGAAATGTACATAAAAGCGTGATGGACGTGCAAAGTTTTTGTTTTGCTGATAAAACTTGTTGCTTTTTTTGCCGTTCTCGTTGCCGGCGCCGTCGTCGTTGCTTAAGCTACCTAATTATTAGGAGGACAGCGGGAATCCTGAAAGCTGCTTACAAGAGTGTCCGTTAAGAAAGTTTCCACAGTAGGGCAAAATATGTATGAAAGGAAATGAATCCGTCAGGCCCAACACGTCACTCAACAGCATTTGTCAATTGCGAATTGACAACTTTGCACATGAATGTGCGTTAAGGTAAAATCTGGAATCCAGACTCTCGAAACAGAATCACGGAAACGGAATACTGAATAAAAAATAGTTCACATTCCAATCCAAGGATAATTTGTTTTAGTTTGTCTTTGCATTTCCCTTAAGTTAATGTGAAATGTAGATAGACTAGATAGGTGTAATATATTGCTCTGTGAGGTCGTTAAAAGTTGTTTCACAAGTTAATTTTATTCACGAGTGTCGAGTAATGTGCTATGGTTAATCATTGCCCTTTTAGCGTTCGTTTGGGACGCATGTCAAGACCAGTATGTAGTACTGTGGAGAGACAAAAAAAAAGACAATAAAACTGAAGTTTTTAGTATACATATCACAGTTATTGGAGCAATTGGTCTTTTTAAACGTATGTACTTTGGAGTAAAATAGCCTGTATTCATAACAGGCGCCAGTTATGAGCATTCTATTTATGACAAACATATTTTTTCCCACGAATTTCAATAGCATTTATTTTTCATAATACTCATGTTCAAAGGTTTATTACAGTTGTTTTTTTTGTCCACTGTACTTCGCAATATTTCACTAATTTATCATTACATAATATAACCTCAAGGTCTTTCATTTCTGACTTGATTCTATCATATTTAGACCTTGTTTAGTTTTGTTAGCCAGGCTAGCTCTTGTATTCTTTGCTGTTTTTTCTTTAATCTTTTTTTCATTGTCTAACCATACACTGGCTAAAATCACCAAACTTTTATACTTTCAAAAATTAAAGGCTTTGTTACACGAGGCAATTCTTCTTGCACCTTGCCTCGAAATCTTGTTGTGACACAAGTTGCATTGAAAATTTCCTGAACACCCCTTAAAATTGAACATGTGTCGCAACGTTTTTGTTGCAATGAGCTTTGCAGAAATTAAAATCAAGTTCCACTTTTCACACTATAAGTTGCGATGTTCCAGTAAAGATAGACCTTCACGTAGACCTTCATCAATACAGCCTGGAAAGAATGCCATAAAATCGCCAAGTTTAAATGGGATTTGTTGAAAATTAACAAAGATACAGCTGAGCTGAAAAGTCGCGTTATTTTACAAATGTAGGTATAGTGGCGAGGGGGGGGGGGGGGGGGTCGTGCTCCCCACCATATAAACCACTATAAAATTTTAAAACACTTCGAGAAGCCCCTACACATACCACCGCGAAAAGAAGCACAAAAACTTGCCAAGTTTAAAGGGGATTGTTGAAAAATAAAAAAAGAACAGGGGGGGGTAAAAGGGGGTTTTTTTTTAAAATTTGGGGTTGGGGGGGGGGGGGGGGGGGGGGGTGGTTCGTGCTCCCCACCATATAAACATCTATAAAATTTTGTGACTTTGTGGTGAAATATCTTTGCCACCCTTTAGGCGTATCACCTTTAAACTTGGTAAGTAACCTTATGTTAACTCCCTCTCTCCAGCAGCATTGATGGATATGCACTGATTGCTCTATAACAAAAAATAAAAACCCCATGGAAGGCTCTAGTATTTATATTGAATGGATTTTAAGAAAATTTGAATGGGGTGTTAAAATATTGAATGTCTTGGACAAGTTATCTCATGAAACAAGTTGAAAGAGATATTTTAAGTGTCACAGAGGCTAAAAAGTTTAATAAATTACTATTTACTTAATATCTATTTAGCTGTGGGTCCACTGGCAGTGAAAGATCACAAAGGTAGTGTTTATATCTCAGTCTGCAGTGATCAGATGACTGAATGTTGTTTCTAGGGTTTGCTCATTGATGACGATGAATTTCTTGTCGTTTTTTGAATACAGGGACATCTCACCATCCCCAATGTCAAACCACAGGCCATGGACCTGAAGTGCTTTTTTGTCAAGTAAATCACGCACAAAGCCATAGGACTTAATGTTCTGTATTTGTTCAAGAACATGCACCTGTTATCACAAAATACAGATAAAATGATTAATTACAGTCAACTCACTTTTACAACAATGAGACAGGTCTGTCATAGCCTGAAGAACAGGTGTTATTTTATTTAGTTAGTTTTTTTTTGGCAACCGCAAAGCACATAGAGAGAACAAGGCACATGACGAAGGAAGGTCTTTTTTCGATGTCTTCCCCCATTGTGTGTGTTTCGCACTCCACAACCATTTCGTGCTTGCCTGAAAAACTCTTCCTAAAACATAGCACCTGTTCAACAGGCTAGGTCTGTCACTAAGTATTGGTAAGACTGTTACAAAGAAGGACACAAAACAAAAACCATGCTATCAAGAGGGGGCAAGAGGACTTTTTGCATAGAGCTTTCAATTGATACAATTTCCCACAATAAAATACAGCTTGCTGAATGCAAGAGCCACGATACAATAATGATAATATTTTTTGAAGCTGTGGTGACCATGTGTTTTGCTTTGAGCATAAGGAATGTACAGGACTGTACAGCTTACAGTCCATGACAATTCACAAAATAAAGTATGCATCTATTTTAAATTCACAATAATTCAAACCATTTTTACAATGGGACCCAGTTAATATGGACACCAAGGGGGACATACCATAGTGTCCATAATATATGGGTGTCTGTATTCAGTGGGTAAATTTTAGAGAAAATTTTAGAGGAAAATAAAACAAACACTTTTTGAGATCCTAGCTTCAGAAGACTGTTATATTGATCTCCCAGAAATTGCTCAAAAAGTTAAGTTGAATTTATTTTCCTCTAAGTTGATATGTAATTATTAATATTGTTCAGTGTATCAGTAGTCTCTTGTCATAACTGTTGTCATTTATTATTAGTAATACCATTAGTTTATCAGTAGTCTCTAGTCATTGTTGTCAATTTTAATTTTAGTTGCTTTAGTTCTCTTGTTACTTTTAGCTGTATTTAGTTGTACTTATTTCCTGTAAACATGACCTGCCTAGATTAGCTTAGCAACCCGCGGGCATGTTATTGTACTTTTACATCAAAACACAATAAAATAAAATGTATGTATGTATGTATGTAAGTAAATGTGACCTTCTCTAGCAAAACGTACAATAACGCTTTTCCATGAGATTTTTCAGTGTCGGGTTGGGATAAACAAAACTGTCCACTCAGTATATGGGTGTCCATATTAAGTGGGTGTCTGTAGAGAAGGGTTCCACGGTATCTTGTTTTGAAATACAGAGATAATAAAATTGCCTGTGGTAAACCATACAAAGATAGGTCATGTTTGTCTTAGTAACACAGCATCACCTTGATATACTGAATATTATTACCTGGGAGAGTTTGTCAACAGCTGAAAGATTTTTCTGATTATCAAACACAAGTTCCATTTTTTCATGTTCTCTTAAGTTGCTGCTAAAAGTAATTTTGTTCACTTCACTGGCATGGACATCAAGCTGTTCAAACTTTGTTAAAGAAGCTTGTGCATAACGCTTAAGCCAACTTGACACCCAGGAGTTTTGTGCGGTATTTTCCTCTGGAGTCAGTGATTGGTGAAGGAATGCCATTGCCTGAAAATTGCATCAAGAATCCTTTGATTGATACTTTAGGATTTGGGTGAGGATGTCCCACTGAGACCCTGGAAACTTTAAAACCTAGACCTAGACCTAGTTCAGCTAAATGTTGCTTCTCTCTTTTAGCATGAACTCCCAAAATCCCTCACATCCTAAAGTACCTAAATATACCGTAAAAGGTATTAAAAAGGGCAAGGGGTTGGACCTCGGGGAGGCTAACCTCGGGGCAGAGCCTCCTTATATTAAACAAGGGACCCTGAAGAGATGACATAAACAAACTGAGGGCAACAAAACAAAATGAGGATGACTCATTCACTCATACACACCTTTAATATTCTAGCCTAGGCTGTGAGTGCCTCTATTTTTTTTTGGAATCACAGCGGATCATTAAGAGCACATATGAAAAGCAAGCAGTGAAGGGGGTGGAGTCCAAGTAGAAAAAAGAAAATATAATTCTGTTTCACTGAAACATTAATTCAATATACAATGAAACCTCCCCAGTTGTCCTCTTTTTCTCCCTCTGCCCCTACTTATTGTTACTTTGCATAATTTAAATTTTTCACTCACCATGCATAGCTCTTGCGGTCTAACAACTCTCACACAAATTTGCGAATGAATCAAGAATGACTCATGAATGAATTGAGAAATGACTTTCTTGTGTTAATGATGTTTATTACCTTAAACCTACCAACTATTTCAGAGTCAAATGCATGAGGTTTTCGTCTTGTTATGTCCGGAATTTCCAAACATTCCCAACGACTTTCCAAAGACTTCAGAATGTTGTCAAAAATGTCCAAAGATGTTCTGACGACCTTTTCAATGACAGCATTTTAGTGTGTTGTGATAAAGTTGAGCGCCTTTTTGGATTATTTTCGGGAACATTGAATTTAACTTTATTATTAATGTGTTAAAGAGCAATTCATCCGGATTTGTTAGTCAGGCGTGAGAAATTGTCTTTGATGCATGAAATCTATGACTTAAGTCTGCGGGCGTGAGACTCACGCATAATACATAAGAGTTGGCAGGTATTTTACCTTGCAATTTGAATGTCCACAAACAGCTACATGTTCAACACCACTTGACACGGCCAATTCTAAAGCAGCTCGTTCTGACAAAGCACTCTGATGACTCTCTCCAAACAACTGACTGTGTGGCATCATATTACCTGGGTTTCTAACAATAAACATATCTCCGGGATCCGCCTGTGTGAAGCTGGTCGGACACAAACGGCTGTCCATGCAGGTGATCATTAACATACGAGGCTACAAAAGGATTTGAGATAAGACAGGGTAAGAAAACAGCTGACATTTTGCAAAACCACCACTGGTTTCCCTGCAAAATGATGTCATTCTGTGGGAAAACCGGTGGACATTGGCGGTTCTTCAGGCTAGAGATTAGAGAGAGGTTAGCTTGTCGACTCTAGATAAAGAGAACTTTGTTGTTTGAGTTGCTGGGAGAAGTGAATGACAAAACAATGTTTACCAAATTATTGTGGATCATTATAAGTTTCTGGGAAAGTGCCCACCTACCCCTCCCACAAGCCAACATTTTGCCGTAAGTGAGAAGTAAGTGTTAACGTTGGCTTAGGGGAGGGGTAGGTAGGCAGTTTCCCAGAAATGTATAATGATCCATTTGCCAACACATTCAAGTTTTTCAATTCAATATTCAATTCAAGGCTCATTAGTCTTAAACAATTGATAATTAAAACAACAAAGTTTGATTTTGATTAGATAAGATAGGGCCGTCGACAAAATCTTGATCGATCGGATCAACCCTTGAAACACTATGAAAGACCTAACAATCTTATTTTGTCATTTAGTGGAATACTGGGGCTTTAATTATCCGATCCGATCCCATCCAGAGTTTGTTGAGTCCTATACGACATCATTACTAGAAAATGGTCCCTTACTTGTGCTTTGTTGGCAAGTTTCTTGAGTGACGGTAACATTGAAGGTTGAACGAGGTTTCTGAATTTCATGACTCCAAGCAAAAGTTTTTCCATCTTGAAACTCCTGGCGTAAAATGGCAATCAATCTCTAAATCTCTGATCAACTCAGTCTAGTTACCCTCAACACCAAGGAAAAGCAATAACTGTTTCTTCTTTAAACTGATGAACACTTACTTTTTCCTTTTTTGTGTGATCTGATAAAAACACCTTTAAAGTTTAATGTCGATCAGTGTAAAAAGATCAAAAGTGCAAGGCGTTCCACTTGTAGCATATTGGCCATCATATTCTCTTTCTAGGGACGGGTCGGTTTAGGCAAGATTCATTTCATACGATTTCTTGATAATTGAAGTGGTTATCCTTCGAAACTGAATTAGATTTTGATTTAATTTATTTTGTTCTCCTATTTGGTTTACGTCTGTTTTTCTTAATAAATGATTCCTGCTAACTTTAATTAAGTATTCTACCCACCCCTCCCTAGCTATTTCAAGCCAACTGACTCTTCTAGCCCCAGTATTTGCCCTCCTTCAAGTTTTCGCACAATGGCGGGCATTTCGAGCGGTCAAATTCTTCGATTGAAAGAAGTCGTTGCGTTAGGAAAAAGCTTGGATAGTAAGTCTGTCAGGACTTGGGGAAGGTAAGTTATTCACACGGCAAGATTAAATTACTAAATTTCTCGAAATCAGAGTGAGAATGAGTGGGCTTAACTTCTAGTCCGAATGTAAATTTCGAGCTTTCAATCCTTTAGTTTTGTAAAAATTAAACTCAGTTGAGAAAGTGAATCGAATATTGGGACGTATTCTGTTTCATATTTATTTTTACTTGTCAAGAAGGAGGGGAAAAGGTTGGGAGTTCACTGTTTAAGCAAAGGGTTTTTATTATTTAAGTTTTCCCCTGGGACCCAAGAACTTGAGCCCCCCCCCTCTATTATGGTCTCCCCGACAAGAACTTCACTAAAATGTGTATATTCTATTTTTCCAAAATCACTTATGCTTGACTCCCTCGCCATTGTTTTCCTTGGAGTAAGGAGAGGGTGGCTTATGGATAGAATACCGTAAAATTCCGAAAATAAGCCCCTCCAAATATAAGCCCCCCAAACTGTTAACGCAAAAAACCCTCCGTTAAATCGCCCCTCCAAATATAAGCCCCCAGGGGCTTGTACTTGGAAAATTACCCTCAAATACAAAGTAAAACAAATTATGAGCAAAAACGGTAAATTTACTTCCAGCTATAAGGCTAGCCCAATAGAGTTTGAAACGCAAATTTCCCTCCGTAGATAAGCCCCTCCGAATATAAGCCCCTCCAAAAATAAGCCCCTCAAAAAGGGCCTCTGAAAAATATCACCCCCAGGGCTTATTTTTGGAAATGTACGTTATATGTTACCTAGAATAATCCAACAAGTGCAATTCATCATATCATCATTGTCCACCTCCTCCTCCTCCTCCTCCTCCTCATCATCATCATCATCATCATCATCATCATTATCATCATAATCATCATCTCGTTGTCATCAGCACCCAGGGACCGCGCAGAGGGAGGGGCTGGGGGGGCTTTAGCCCCCCCACTTTTTTGCAAGAATAAAAATAAATTAATCAAAAAATAATTTAACAAAAGTAACGGAGTGAAAAATAGCAAAAAATCGTTAATTCGAAAGTGACCAGAGTTACTGGCAAAGACAAACGCGCAGATAAATAGACAGAATGAAGCATTAGTCATTACAATTGTAAAATATTTTTTCGCTTCTAACCTAGCAGAGGTAAACGTCTTTTAAATGGCCTCTTTTTCCTGGAAAAACTGTACACCGATGATGTTAATATTTCAGTGTTAACCGCCCAAATGGAAATTTTACAAGTGCGGCTGAAGGATGGTGATTATTTTTGTTTTGACGACATCATAGTAAAAATTAAAGAGCTACCCAACCCAGAACGGGAAATGATAAAAGAAGTTATCACGTTATGTAAGCTGATTGTCGTAAATCCAGCAACCAGTGCAGCCGGTGAAAGATCCTTTTCGACTGCCCGGGGGCTAAAAACATGCCTCCGTTCAAGAATGAACCAGGAACGATTTAGTAACCTGACAGTTTTAAA